AAAATGACCCGTGGCCACTTCTGTCCACCCCTGCCAACTCTGTGTTCTCCAAACTTTCTGGTTGTGGGGAAGGTTACTGAAGGCAGAGGCCATCAGTCAAATTGTGACTGCAAGAGTGGGGGCATGACTGGTGGCACGCTGTGTATGTCTATAGATGCACACAACCTGCTGCAGGCACGACCGTTAGTGCGCTCGCTTGGGTGCCTCAGCAGTCGGCTAGCTGATGGAGGCCATCCGTACACGGGTGTGGAGCTTGGCCTCCATAAACAGAAAGAAAAAGTTCAAAAATAAAAAAACCTGAAGGTTTAATATCACTTTCATTATAAATATTTTCCATACTTATTTACAAAATGCATATGTGTATTGCTGGCAGCAAGATCTGCGTATAAAGTGGCCTGTACGCATGTAACATTTCTGCAACATTTACATGCGTATAGCGCAAAGGTGCCTTGTTGGACTTGTTAGGATGCTTAACGGCTTGAGCAGCCTGCATCCTAGAAGCAAAGGATACTAAGAGGCTCAAGCTGCTTACATCCTAGTAACAAAGAATGCCAAGTGGCTCAAGCTGCTTACATCCTAGTAAAGCATGCTAGGTGGCTCAAGCATCTTACATCCTAGTAACAAAGCATGCCAGGTAGCTCAAGCTGCTTAGATCACAGTAACAAAGGATGCCAGGTGGCTCAAGCTGCTTACATCCTAGTAACAAAGGATGCCAGGTGGCTCAAGCTGCTTACATCCTAGTAACAAAGGCTGCCAGGTGGCTCAAGCTGCTTAGATCCTACTAACAAAGGCTGCCAGGTGGCTCAAGCATCTTACATCCTAGTAACAAAGGATGCCAGGTGGGTCAAGCATCTTACATCCTAGTAACAAAGGATGCCAGGTGGCTCAAGCATCTTACATCCTAGTAACAAAGGATGCCAGGTGGCTCAAGCATCTTACATCCTAGTAACAAAGGATGCCAGGTGGGTCAAGCATCTTACATCCTAGTAACAAAGGATGTCAGGTGGCTCAAGCTGATTAGATCACAGTATCACAGTAACAAAGCATGCCAGGTGGCTCAAGCTGCTTACATCCTAGTAATAAAGGATACCAGGTGGCTTAGGCCACATAGTGTCCATGGTTGCTAGGATGCAGGAGGCTCTTTGTGGCCTAGCGTCCTTGGTTGCTGGGATGCAGACGGTTTAATCCTCTTAATCATGTAAGAAATTGTAAACTATCCTGTGACCTGCACATTCCCTATCTTATC